CCCCCCCCCCGCTCCACCGCTTGAGAGCACAGTGCTGGTGGAAGCGGCTGCAACCAGTTTAATGACATCTAGAAGGGATGGGGTGAGGGCCAGCATGCTGTAGTGTTTTGAGCATTGGACTCTGACTTTAGGAGATCAGGGTTTGAATCCCTGCTTGTGCATAAAAACCCACTGGATGACCTTGGGCAAGTCACAGGTTCTCAGCCTCAAAGGATGGCAGTGGCAACCCCCCTCTGAAGAAACTTTCCAATAGGTTCATTAGGGTTTCTATAAGTAAAATATGACTTGGAGACACATAACAACAACAAGAAAACCTTTAGTGGCCATGCTGGATGGGATTAATGGAAATTGTAGGCCAAAATATCTGGAGGGTCAAAGGAGTTTGCCAGCCTGATCTACAGGACTTGTTTACTTGTAAATACTGTAGATCAGACTTGTGTATAGTTGCACAACTTTGCCGCTGGCTATGCTCACTGGGACTTCTGGATGTTGTAATCCAAAAGCTCTGGATATCTTTAACCTTATCTGGTTCGGGTGACTGGAATAAGAGTGCATAATAATGCTTTTTTCTTTGTGCGATTATCCAGTCCTCCTTCATTTTCCCCTGAAATATGCAGATGCTGAAATATCTAGAGGGTCAGAGGAGTTTACCGGTCTGATTTACAGGGTTTGTTTACTTGTAAATAGATCAAACTTGTGTATATTGCACAACTTTGCCACTGGCCCATGCTCACTGGGACTTCTAGGGGTTACAATCTGGATATCATTAACCTTATCTGGTGTTTGGAAGAAAAGTGCACAATAGTGCGTCTTTTCTTAGTTTAATTCCTCACTTCTTCCTATTATTCACCTCATTTTCACCCGCTGAAATTTGCAGGACCAGGTGGAAGGGTGTGAAAAGGAAATTGCTGCCATAAAAAACAAAGAGCAGCAACTCCAGAGCAAGAACAAGCAGCTTAACAGCCTGTTGAAGGAAGAAAAAGATGAGGTAAGGATGACTAGAGGGATGGACCATGCTGGGAGATGGAAAATCCCCTTGGCATACCCATCCCTCCCACTGAATTAACATGAATGTAGTCCAATAGTTTGGAAAAGTTACTTTTTATGGACAAGTCCCCCAGTCATTATGGCCAATTCTGGAATCACAGTCAATAAAAAATACCGTAGTTTTGCAACCTCCAGATTTAATCTACTGGTGATACTAACACAAATCTCATTGAAATAAGTGGGAGCTGGACAAGAGTACTGTTGAAGCTTGTGCAGGAAAACTTCCCAGCCCATTACACTGATAGCACACTCTCCATTTTGCATGCACCATTCTTATCAGTGATTGCCCATTTGGGAAATTTGTAGAATAGCAATAAATTTCATTTTGAGCCCTACATTTCCCTCTTGAAAAAGATAGTACAACTGGCTCCCAGACTGTTGACTGCTGTTCCACTATTGACATTAATTACCCAGAACCAAACTCTGCTCTCTGTGAGATCTTTCCTGGGAGGGAACTAGCACTTTGCATTCAGTGAACTGAACTGCATCAAGTAAACCTGCAAAGGTACCTCCCAATTCCTTTTGAGATTCAAAGTCTTCTCATTGTAACACTCATAATTTGTAAAAATCAATTGTTGTCTATTTTAAGAAAATGAGAAGCTAAGAATGAAGTACGATTGTATTGATTATTGAAATAAACCATTCGGTGACTTACTAGTTTTAATTGAATTATTTATATTTTGCTGGTCATTGCTATTGAATATCTGATGATGTATTAAAGTTATTTTTTTAAAAATATATAATAATGTTGAGTGCATTAGCGGCTGAAAAAGGATATACACATAAACTTAGTTTGACCTGACCTATGTACACTCACTCATAATTCAGACGAGTATATAAACTAAAAACAAGGCTTTGTTCTGTGTATGCAACTGTAAATAAGCATTATTCAGAAGACAGCACTGTGCAAAATATCTTTTAAACTGGAGCTCTTTTTATGTACTTTATGAATGGAATGCTCAGCAGTTTCTCTGATTTAAGTATTCTGTCTTGTCCTGGACCCAAAAAATAAAAGATAGTACAACTGGCTCCCAGACTGTAGAACTGCTGTTCCACCATTGACATTAATTACCCAGAACCAAACTCTGCTCTTTGTGAGATGTTTCCTGGAAGGGAAATTAAAATAATTCAACCAGATGGTTTATTTCAATAATCATTACAATCATACTTCATTCTTAGCTTCTCATTTTCTTATAATAGACAACAATTGATTTGGAAGTGAAGGTGATGTCACCCCAGAATTAAAGCAGTTTGACCCCATTTTAACTGCCATGACTCTATCCTACAGAATCTTGGGATTTGCAGTTTGGTGAGGTATTCAGCTTGGTTTGTCAGAGTTCCATTGCCTCACTAAACTACAGATCCCAGGATTCTGCAGAATAGAGTCATGGCAGTTAAAGTGGGGTCAAACTTCTTTAATTCTGCAGTGTGGCTACACCCATTGTTGCATAGCTTGTGTACATGATGGACTATTGTTATTCGTTTTAACAACAGCATAGGAGACGGGGTGTAGTTATGGAGGGGGCAAAATGAGGGGGATTTCCCTTCCGAAATAAAATTTTGCCCACCAAATGAAATTGATGACACAGAATTATTATCTGAGGGGAGTAATGCCCTCATTTTGCCTTCCCCTACCATAGCCACATCTCTGAAGTAGGAAGAGGAGTGCTGCTATTATGCACTATACAGAAACCATTAAAAACTGGCCCTGCCTACAGCAGAAAGAAAGCTAAAATTAGTGGTGGGGACGATCAAAGACATTTGGGCATTGGCAAGTTGAAATATATGGGTCTTAAGCGAATCAG